GTACTGTGGTAACCAAGGTAACCGCCACAATACAATGGATATTGTTACAGATGTGTTTCAGTTATATATAGGTAACAGTGGCTGGTAACTAGGTAACTGAGGTAACTGTGGTAACCAAGGTAACCGCCACAATACAATGGATATTGTTACAGATATATTTTAGTTATATATAGGTAACAGTGGCTGGTAACTTGGTAACTGAGGTAACTGTGGTAACCAAGGTAACCGTCACAATACAATGGATATTGTTACAGATGTGTTTCAGTTATATATAGGTAACAGTGGCTGGTAACTAGGTAACTGAGGTAACTGTGGTAACCAAGGTAACCGCCACAATACAATGGATATTGTTACAGATGTGTTTCAGTTATACATAGGTAACAGTGGCTGGTAACTAGGTAACTGTGGTAACTGTGGTAACCAAGGTAACCGTCACAATACAATGGATATTGTTACAGATGTGTTTCAGTTATACATAGGTAACAGTGGCTGGTAACTAGGTAACTGTGGTAACCAAGGTAACCGCCACAATACAATGGATATTGTTACAGATATCTTTCAGTTATATATAGGTAACAGTGGCTTGTAACCGTGGTAAAGAAAGATAGATATTATGTCAGTTGGTAACATTTTGACTGATGCTGTTAAGTATTATTTATTATTTCTTTCATCCTAACTTATTGTTCAATTGTCTTTTTTGTTCATAATACCAAAAATAGTAATAACAATGTAATAATAGTGAAAATAGTTATAATAATACTAATTATTAATAATCTGTCTCAAACTTATGCGCACATTGAGCAATTAAAGTTTTGTCAATAAATTTTATTCTAGGGCAATTACTTTAGAATGATGCAACGGTCGTCTACCAGTCTTGTAGCATAAAGAAATGTATCGGTTGCGGTGTTTTATCATCCGATGAAGAAAGAAATGAAAGTGAATTTTTGGCATAGATCCCAAAATCCTTTTATATCTACTAAGCCAAGCAAATGTTTGCTCACAAACCATGGTGTTATAATCAGGGTTACTTTCCTTCAGCTTTTCGGGATCATATTTCTCCTTACATTTGACATCAACATGATTCTTCATGTGTAAAGAATCTATTATCTTATTTATATCTTTCCATATGTATTTTAAATCACCTAAGAGATGAAGAACAAAATACAAAGTAAAGTACTAACTTATTACCAGGTAAAGGCAGGTCTTCTTTTGTGGCCTTCAAGTTATCTAAGTGGCACATGTTATCATATGCTAAATACAGTTTTTTCCATCTTTCTCTAGTCTCATTTCCATGTGCTGCTAATAGCCAAGTCAATGTTAGTAAAAAGACTTGTGAAGGCCCTTCTGACCTATATAGAATCACAATAAAGTTTAATGTAGTCACTAGTCAAAACATACTGGTAAAGTGGTTGCCACATTTGTATGTGTCCTCCGCCCGATGCACAAAGCCAAATGCCTCTGGTTCTCTTCTGAGGCTTTCTAGAGGCACCAGTTTCTTTGTTGCATTTCGTTTTG